AACTTGTTACCCCCCTTTAAAAAAAAAAAATAAAGTAGGTACAGTCTTCATTTAAAAATTCCAGGCTCAAACCTGGCTGGTGTGGCTCAGTGGATTTAGCACTGGCCTGCAAAGCAAAAGGTCTCTGGTTCAATTCCCAGTTGGGGCACATGCCTGGGTTGTGGGCCAGGTCCCCAGTTGGGGGCATGTGAGAGGCAACCGATCGATATTTCTCTCATACATTGATGTTTCTCTCCCTCTCTTTCTCCCTCCCTTCCCCTCTCTCTAAAAGTAAATAAATAAAATCTTTTTAAAAAAGTTATGTGGACTTCCAATTGAGCAGGGGGTCAGCACCCCTAACCCCTGCCATTGTTCAAGGGGCAACTGTACATTTGATAATTAAGTTTGCATCCATAATTTTAGAAAAGTTTCAGAATCATAGGTACTGGGGTGATAAAAGGTGGGGCATAATGGGGCAAAGCTTGAGCAGGAGAAAATGGGTACAAGGAATATAACCTCTTTGAAGAATCTTGATTGAGAAAATATTGGGGGGGCAATTTGATCTAGAATCAAGCAAGTATTTTGGTGTTTGATTTTTTAAGATAAAGATTTATTATATAAATATTATATTTATAATATTAAGGAGAATGAACTAGTTGTGGAAGATTTGTAAGAATGAATAGCGGAGATGAGAAGAGACACCTAAAAGTTACAGCAGTATTAGTCCTAAGCAGAATACCTTCTTAAGAGAGAGATGAAGGAAACTGCAGAGAACAGTATATATGTAGGTATGTAGAGCTGGGAGTAAAAGAGCTGCATAAATGACAACCTCTTTCTTTGTACAGTAAAAGATGGGGAAGAAGGATGGGATAAAGTTTGAGGAGAGTGGCAAGGGTTTGAAATAGAAGCTTAGAACACTGAGCTTGAATGTGTAGAATTACAGAGCAATGTATGAAGGGCTTTGTTGAGAATGGAGACCACAGATTTGTAGTAGCCATAAACTATATGGTTTCATCATTTTCTTTAGCACTGTTTAGCATTGTTTATCATGCTCTCTTAGTAACTTTTACCTCCCCTACTGTTGACCAGAAGTCTCAATGATAACATAAACAGTTTATTCATATATTTCTTGTATGTTACACGCATAATATACTGTATTCTTACAATAAAATAAGCTAGAGATCAGAAAATGTTATTAAGAAAATCACAATGGGGGAAAATTGGAACTGTAATAGAACAACAATTTAGAAAAAGGAAATCATAGAAAATAAATTTACTGTATTGAAAAAATCTGCACACAAGTGGACGCACACAGTTCAAACCTATGTTTGACTTTTCAAACCTATGAAGAGTCAACTGGATGAGAGTTTTCAGTTCTTCCCTTACTAAACCTCCCTGGGAGCAGCTGACACAACTGACTCAATCCACTGAAACCCTATATGTGGGGCACTTCTCTCATGATTTTCTCTGGCTACTCCTTCTTAATCTCTTTTATGGGTTCTTCTTAAATATTAATGTTTCCCTAGGATTTTGTCCTAGACCCATTTTATTTCACTATACACATTCTCTCTAGCGGACACTCTTGGTTTCAGCCTCCATCTATTATTACATGACCCTTTGTTTTCAGACCAGACTTCTCATAAGCTTTAGACCTATACATACAACTATGTACTAAACATCTTGAATGTTACACAGGGAACTCAGCATCACCAAGTGTTAAACAGAATCTTTCATCCTTCCACCCCAATTTGGCCATTCATTTTCTGTCTCTGTGAAAAGACTGCTATCCACCCTGCTGCCTAAGCTGGAAGTCCACAAAAGATTCTAAGTTCATCTTTTTCTTGTCCTTAATGCCTAGTCACCAAATTTTGTTCGTTTTCACTTTCCAAATATTTCTTATAACCATTCATAACACACTCTCTAGCTCTACTGCCATTATCTTGTTTCAAGACCTTATAAATCTGTTAGGTCATTCAGTATTTTTCCTCTATTTTTAGTTTTTAACTTTATCAAAATGATATATGCACATATTTCAAAGTCATACGTAGTTTTACAGGGTTAGTAATAATAAATCCAGCAACCTTCTTCCCCAGAGATAATCATTTCCCTCCCTTTAGCTCACTATTTTGGTATTTACTTCCATATCTCTAAATATACCTTTCTTGTGTTGCTACTTCTTGATTTTTCAGTTTTATGTGTAACTAATGACTTTCTACTAGAAACACCATACTTTCATTTACCCAACAAACATTTATGGAGTACCAATATTGTAACAGGCATTGTTTAGTTTTGGGTGTTTGGGATACAGCAAACAGAACAGATAAAAATCTATTTGGGGAAAGAGATGAATAACAAACATAAATTATATTATTTTATGATTCATTATAAAATAGGATCACTCCTAGCAAGGTAAGATGTCCTTCATTGTGTTCCAGTAGTGATCTATTCATAGCTCTGTCATAGGCAGCAGATTTTATACTAAAATATTATGTAAGACTGTGGTTGGTAGTGGGTATCTAGTTTAGAACTAAGTTGTGTTCTTCCTATGATTCTGATGAGTCTCGCTGGGACTGGAGGGATCTCTCTGCATGAGAACATTAAGGCCCTGTAGGAAGGTGCTGGAGAACTTAACTTATATTAAAAAATGGGCCTGGGTAATTTTAGAGAAGCCAAATCCCTGAATGTCCTGATTAACTATAAAGGACTTGTTAATTTCAAACTTAACATTTGAAGAGTTAAAAGTAACAAACTATGATCATCAGAAAGGGAACACTTCTTACATTATGATAAAACTTTCAAAGTGGTACCAATGACTTGTTAATCAAATACAGATATTTTTGAACATGACCTGCTTCTCTGATTAAAAAAGATAATTTTATTTTAGTGTAGCAGATCCCTACTTATTTGCTTGTTAAATGAATAAAACAGGATAAAATGAAGTACAATAATAGTGCATGAAAACAATGCTATCATTTATCTCTTTACCTGCTTGACTATTAAAAGAAATACAACGAGGTAAAAGTGTTTCATAACGTATTTTTCAAAAAATTTACAAGAATCACAATTGGTATATTAATATTTTTCTTAAAAAATTAAAGGTTTAATTCTTTGACATAGTATTAAAAACTACTATAAGCTGTACATTTTAAAATATTTTATATATGACCCTTCCTTAATGAACCTTTTAGAATATTGTTATATCTTTGTCTTCTTGTAAAAAATAATTTGGTTTCAAATATTAAATTCAAAAATTTGAATTAAGCCAGTATTTTGTGGAGAAATTTCCAAAAAAATTTAAGAAGTCTGGAAAAAAGGAAAACATTTTAATGCTATAAGGTTCTGTTTAATTATTGCTAATACCCTAATTTAAAAAAATGCTGAGTATTTACATAATACTTATTAAACTATTAAAGAAATGTTAAAAAGAGGAAATTTTAGAAATAAACAGATTTTTTAAAGAGTGTTTCCTAACTGCCATAATTATATTTGCTGTGTATTTATTTCTCTAAGCAAGACCTAAGAATCATAGGCAGTCAGCATATCTATGAGATATAAGGAGTGATTACATTTTGAGAACTCCAGAAGATTCACTTTCTATGAAGAATATAAGTTCACTTGTCAGAAAATTAGAAACTACACACCAAATCCATTCAAATTTGACCATCAGTAAAAAAGTGCCTCAAAACACTGGGGGCAATAGTGAATTATTGCTGAAAGTTATCTCATAGTGGTATTTATTTTAACCATAATCATATACTGTACAAACACAAAAACTGTTAAAGACGTATAGCTGTATAATGAAATTCAATTATCTCTTACTTTACTCCATAAAACTCTTTGAACAATCAGTATAAAAATTTTTACAGTCTGAGTTTTGGCTTTGAAAATTAGGCCTTATTTAAATACTTAAAAAGAGAAAAATGCTTGCTGAAATAATTATGAGTCAGTCAACTGCGTATCTTTACTGGCCACATCCTCCTCCAAGTGAGCTGTCACCCTTCATCATGTGTCAGTACACACGTTGCAGAGCCTGTGGAACACTTAGTGTTTTATGCAGGTGATCGATCGCCTGAACACCTGACCAGTTCAACAATGAATGGGAGCTTAAAATCTTGAGAGACCACAAAAATTTGTTTAAAGGCTTCAATCTGATTTGGAGATTGCTTTCTGACCCCTAATGACTTAGCTTACAATAATGTAATACTCTCCTGAAAAGCAATCTTGAAATCTGTGAAAGTAGATTGAATCTTAAGGACTGACAATGACATAAGTGTATCCAGTCCAGATGTCAATATGTTGGAAAAACAAATGAGAACAATTTTGTCCTCGAATAAAACACCTCAACAACAGATACAACTGAAGACTGTATAAAGGTGTTTTATTGATTAGTAACTCATAGAAAGTTAAAATGTTAAGCCACCGTAAGTTGTAAAAATTTGCTAATTATCATTCTGAAGTGGTTCAGAACAGGCCTCCCCAAGACGTGCTACTTTGACATACACGGTTATTTTGAGCTGAAGGCAATTGAGACCCTGTGGGCCCAAGATAAATCTTTATCTCTTTCTTAAAGAATCTAAATTGAGTGCTTTGCCCATAATAACAGTTATTGCCATAAATAACATTTTATGACCTACGGGGCAGGGCAAACATGTAATTACTGAACGTCCGCTCTTCTTTTCATCCTTCAAATGACCTTCCTCCCCTCTGAAGCCCCAAGGCACCTTACTTTATCCTTAGCTCAGAGGGTCACATAGACCTCATTTTAACTTTCTGTCTCTGGACCTTCTCATGTATGTGGGGTTCCCATATGTATATATGTAATTAAATTTGGTTATTTTTCTCTTGTTAACCTGTCTCACGTCAGTTTGATTATTAGACTAGCTGAAAGAACCTAGAAGGGACAAGGAAATTTTCTTCCTCCCCCATAATACTTATAAAAATTTTTAACCTAAGGGCAGAAAGTTAATTGATTATTGATTGTTTAACATACTCTAAAGTAACATAGAATCAAAATTGATTACCTAATCAAGTAGCAACAGAAGAGTAAACTAAGGATGAAGACAAATATAGCAGTGCCAAAAACCACTATATATATGTTGAGAGGCAGATTCTGGAATCCAATATTAGGCATCCTGAAGTTGTAATGTGGGAAATCTGAGCTCATGGATGAACTGTGGAAAAAAGAATAAAAAAAAAATTAGGTTATTAAAGACTAAGAACCAAGAGAGCATCATCTTTGTATATTACAGTAGTCCCTCCTTATCCCTGGGGAATCTGTTCCAAGACCCTCAGTGGGTTCCTGGAGAGTTAACAAACGCTATATACACTATGCTTTTTTCCTATATGTACATACCTATGACAAAATTTAATTTATAAATAAGGCACAGTAAGATTAACAATAAAATAAAATAGCACAATTGTAACAACATACTGTAATAAAAGTTATGTGAATGTGGTCTTTCCCTCTCTCTAAAGACTTTATTGCACTATAAGTACAATGTGGATATGCTAGACAAAGGGTGAGTCACGTCCAGGGATGGTGAGAGATTTCCTCATACTACTCAGAACAGCACTCAATTTAAAACTCATGAATTGTTTATTTCTAGAATTGTCCATAAATATTAATGTTAAGGGAAATACAAAGATATGTCGGAAAAGTTAAGTAGGATATAAATTGTGTGTGTATATATATGTGTATATGTGTGCGCACACATGCGTGTGTGTGTATAAATAAAATGGTTTTTGTCCACAATTTCTAGCTGATAGCTACAGAATTTCTTGAGAGTGAAAAGGCTGTCTTTTGTTATGTTAATGAGGCAAGTTTTGGAAACTATATAAGGATGGGGGCATAAAAACCCAGGACAGCTCGTTGGTCCTTTTCAGGAGAGCTTACAGGCAGGTGAACACATGGAGGTGCTGGGAGAGTGATGTGCCTGGAGTGGGCATGGAAACTCCAGGTACCTTCAAACACACCTTATCCTATGCATCTCTTCCATCTGGCTGTTTCTGAGATATATCTTTTTGTAACAAACCAGGGGACTAGTAAGTAAAATATTTCTTTGAGTTCTGTGAGTCATTCTAGCAAAATAATTGAAACCAAGAAGGGGGCTGTGGGAACGACTGACTTATAGCCAGTTGATCAGAAGTATAGTTAACGATCTGGACTTGTGATTGGCAGTATGAGCTAGAGGGGGTCATTGGAGCCTCCAACCTATAGCCGGTTGGTCAGAAGCACAGGTAAAAGACTAGGCTTGAGGCTGGTGTCTGAAGTGTATACATGTGTGTGTAGTCTTGTAGGACTGAACCATTAACCTGTGGAATCTGATGCTATCACTGGGCAGATAGTGTCAGAATTTAGTTAAATTCTTGGACATCCTGCCAGTGTCCGAGAACTGTGGTGGGGGGCACTCCTCCATGCCGTGCTGGAACTGGGTACAGGAACCTTTGCAATCCCTTAAAAATACTCTAAATCCTGTAGAAATATCCTTCACCAGACAAATTAGATTTGGTAAAATAACTCTCAGTTTAGGAAATTAGAGATTTAAACATCCGTGCTGAGAGGACTAATTGAGAAATGGTCAAAGAGACAGGAAGTGATGTGGTGGGAAAAAGCAACAGGTCTGCAGTCAGCAATTCTGAATGTTGTTCCCAGGATGTTACAATCTAGATGTCAATACCTGACCCATTTACACCTCAATTTTCTCATCTTATGTAAGGCGCGTGTGTGCTCGTGCATTTTAGTGGGGGCAGTGGGGAGGGAAGATATTAGAAAAAATCATTAAATAATACAGAAGAGCCCTGACAAAGAGAAATCTCTTGAGGGGAGTCTACTAACCCAGTACTCTTTTCTCAGGGAGCTCCTCTGCACACAATGCCAAGCTTTGTGTCAAGTGGCCTGCCAGCCTGGCTCCCAGATGCAAGGCCTGGACACCTATCCTTGCCTAAGGCAGCCTTCATTCCAGGTCAGCTGGAAGTGAGCTAGTAGTGTGAGAATGTTGCCCCTGAATGGGTCTTCACACTGGGTGGCGTCACCAAGGAGCCCTGGGGGATTCTGAACAGAGATACAGACATGCAGAGTATCAAAGTCAGTGCTGTCATCACATGGAAGGGACATCTGCCTCAGTGCTCTTGGGAGCTGACTGCTGATACTTCCCTGTGAGTTGTCCCTTCTTGGCAGGGCCTTACAACCCATTAGCAGAGAGATGGGGGCTGACAAAGGATACTCTGATACAGGATACATTTTAGGACTGTTCTTTCTTTCGCTGAATTGCTTAGCTATGAATGATATGTTGGCTCAACAGTCTAAATAGATGTTGTATTATTCCAAGATGTTAATCCTGGTCTAGCAATACATTGGTTTTATAATATTTTCATCATAATATCTTTTCAGCATGAGTATTAATAATCTTTCAAAATAAGATAATCTTTAAAAAGAGAGACTATTTATCATCCCAGTAATAAGCATTCTTTGCCTTTTGGGTATCAAAAATGTAAAAGGTTTTTAGTAATTGCTCCTTGTGGGAGTGAAGAGGAGAAAGAACATACATGCACTGCTGGATCTTACTTGGCATTTCTGACTTCAATTACATGAAAACTTTCTCTCCCCTTGTATAATTAATAGTTTCTGAAATTTCTAGTTTCAGCCTAAATTTCAAATCACCTAATCAGTTTACTTTTATTTTTAAAGAAAAGAAACAGAGAAGATTAATATTTTATTGGCAGTAGAATTTCCCAGCAAGATACAAAAGGGACAAGGTGAGAGAGAATTTGGTTCTACAGAGGACGGGTGATTTAGTAAGTTTTATTATATCCTGCCTTCTACTTGCTTTGGGTTTAGTTTGTTCTTCTTTGTCTAGCTTCTTTATAGTGGAAGCGTAGGTTATTGATTTGAATTCTCTACTTTCTTCTAATACAGATATTCCTAGCCATAAATTTCTCTCTAACCTCTGCTTTAACTATATCTCATTATTCTTTTTGTAAGCATCAATAATCTAACTTTCTGAGCAATGATTGAATAAAAACTTATTAAATAAATTTCTAAAGTCAAGTAGCAAATGATTATTACAAAAGTGGTACCTTTAAATATAACTTATAAAATTTAAGTTTATCAACAACTTAAGAGTATATACCCTTCATATGCTTAAAAACCAGGTGAAATCACATAACGTAACTAACCATTTTAAAATGAGCAATGCAAAGGCATTTAGTGCCTTCACAATGTTGTACAACCCCCACCTCTATCTAAATCCAAAACATTTAATCACTCTAAACTTAATAAAAGCCGATACTATGAAGCAGTTTACTCCCTATGCCTTCCCTCTCTGTAGACCCAGCAACCACCAAACTACTCTCTGTTTCTATGGATTTACTTACTCTGGATATTTCATATACATGGGATCGTACTAAATATAACTTATTTTTTTTGGAGAGCAAGAGGACGAAGAGAGAGAAACATTGATTTGTTTTTCCACTTATTTATGCATTTATTGGTTGATTCTTGTGAGTGCTCTAACTGGGGATTGAACCTGCAACCACAGCATACTGGGATGACACTCTAACCAACTGAGTTATCCAACAAGATATATGACTATTTGTATCTGGCTTCTTTCATTTAGCTTAACGTTTTTGAGGTTCATATTCATGTTGTAGTGGTATATATCAGTACTTAATTTCTTTTTATGGCTGAATAATATTCCATTATATGTATATCCCACAATTTGTTTATCCATTCATCCCTTGATGGACATTTGTGTTCTTTCCACTGTTTCGTTATTGTGAATAATGCTACTATGAATATTTGTGTTCAAGGATTTGCTTGAGTATCTGTTTTCAATTCTTTTCGATATATTCCTAGAAGTGGATTGCTGGGTCATATGATAATTCTATGTTTAACTTTTTGAGGAATCACCAAACTTTTCCACAGTGGCTATATACCATATTACATTCCTACCAGCAATGTAAGAGGATTCAAATTTCTTCACGTCCTCATTAACACTTGTTTATTTCTGTGCTTTTTATTTTTTAAATACCCATCCTCATGTGTGTGAAATGCTATTTCATTGTGATTTTAATTTGCATTTCCCTAATGACTAATGGTGTACAGCATTCTTTCCTGTGCTTATTTCATTTGTGTATCTTTGGAGAAATGGCTATTTAAGTACTTTGCCTATTTTGAAAGTGAAACTTTTTTTTTAAGCTGTAAAAGTTCTTTATGTATTCTGGATACTAAAGCCTTATTAAATGTATGATTTACAAATATTTTCTCACACTTTGTAGTTTCGTCTTTTCACTTTCTTGATGTCCTTTCATGTACAAAAAATTGAAGTTTTGGTGAAGTCTAATTTCTTTCTCTCTTTTTTGTGGCTTATGCTTTTGGTGTCATATCTAAGATCATGAAGATTCACCTGTTTTCTTCTAAGAATTTTAGCTCTTATATTTAGGTAATTGGTGCATTTTCAGTTAATTTTTGTATAGGATATCATGGAGAGGTCCAGCTTTGTTCTTTTGCATGTAAATATCCCGTTGTCTAGCACCATATTTTAGATGATTCTTTCCCCACTGAATGAGCTTTGCACTCTTATCAATAATCAATTGATCACAGATGTCTGGGGTTTATTTCTGGACTCTCAAATCTACTCCATTGGTCTATATGTCTATCTTTATGCCAGTACCACAGTTTTGATTACTTTAGCTTTATAATGAGTTTAGAAATTGGGAAGAATGAAATCTTCCAACTCTGTTCTCCCCTCCCCCCGGACCCCAGCCCAAACTATTTAGGTTATTTGGGGGCCTCTTGCAATTCCATAAGAATTTGAGGACTGGCGTTTCTATTTCTGCAAAAAAAAAAAAAAAAAAAAAAAAAAAAAATCATTGGAATTGTGATAGGGATTGTACTGAATCTGCAGATTGCATTGGGTAATCATTCCATTATTTCAGTTTGTTGTATTTTCATTTCTATCCAGTCAAAATGTTTTCTAATTTTCCTTGTATTTTCTTCCTTAACCTGTGGACTACTTAGTAGCGTAATGTTTAATTCCCAAATATTTATGGGTTTTCAAAATATCCTTTTGGTGATATCTAATCTAATTCCATCAAGTTAGGTTACAATTCTTTTAAATTTATTGAGACTTGTTTTATGACCTAGCACAGGGGTTGGCAAACTATGCACAGC